TTATATTTATATTTATAGCATTTATATAAAAAAACATTAAAAATATAATAAAATAAAATACTATAAAATAATTGTTGGTAGTATATTTAATTAATGAAAAAAAAAAAGTGAAATTAGTACCAAAGATACAACCAACAATTTTGTTATATTATTTTATTAGAATTATATAATTTAATATTTAATACATTTAATATAATTATATATTTTGTGTGTTTGTATTTTGTAAGAAAATGTATTTATATTTACTTAAAATTCACTAGTTAATCATTTACAATTAATTAGTTAAAGTGAAAAGTGTATAAAATTGATTAGATTTTTTTATTTGAAATTGATTTGATTTGTCTTGACATTTGATTTAAAAAAAAACTAAATTTACATAATATCCAGATACCAGTGACATTATCATTAGGACGAATGTTTCTTGCGTGTCTTTGATAAAGATATAGCAACAATATTGATTGAGAATTACTGTAATTGTGTAACGAGGCTAATTGTTAAACCCTCTAATTTGTCTCTTGCCATGTGTAATTAAGCTCAAATCCCACAGTGCATTTGAATAATCCTCCGCTTCATCATTTATTAATTACCAAGCTGTTCTTATTAAATGCCTCAATCATAATTATTAACTGCATCTTATCAATAAAACAACAAATTTCATCGGTTCGCCAAATAAAACCGTCACCGTACGGAATTGTCACAGGGAAACCGAAGTGTTAAAGGTAGCATTAGCTACACGCTAAAGTCGTCGGTGCCTACGGCGGATCGGGTGGCTGTAGTTTATCCTCCTGTACCCCCTGCACAGCCTCCATCTCTCTCTCTTTAAAGAGCATGCTAGCCTCGCGATCCCTCAAGGTAAACCCCCAAATTACGCCTAATGTTCTACACAGGCTAATGGTTGTTGGTGCCATTAGAATATGCGTTATTTGGCTCCGTGGGTTTCAGACACTCCCAGACCCGAGCGACGTCGCACACACACACACATTTGCACGCGCACACACTCTTATACACCCCAGGCCTGTGGAGATGAATGGAGTTTGCAACGCTACAATGAGCTTTTGATGCCAAGACAATGGAGGAGGCTTCCCACATGTGTGTTTCTGAGGGCCGCTAACAATATGGGGTCCACTTTGCCAGGCCCTTCTGCCCCTGGGCTGGTCGGGGGTTGTGGGTAATAGTGTCCCGAGGGCGCCCAAAAATGATGTCGAAGTGTCATGAAGCTCAGAAAGATGACCGTGGCTTCCCTACTGGCACCCCCTTTTCTTACCGCATCACAGAAACAGACTAGCGTGGGACGGCAGGTTAATATCGCTTCTATAAAATCACCTTACACCCAACCCAACCTCTCTTGTGCTCGTGTGGCGTCTCCCATTACAGCGTTGGTCCTCGGGCAACAGCAAATCATCATTTGTTACTCACGTGCACGTCCCCTTCTCGTCAAGCTAATAGAAGTGAAACGGAGGTGTGGTCCAGCTCTTGTTTTCTTCAGTGGTTGTGGATCTTCACTTGTCTTGTCAAATGTGGTGGAAGCGGGTAACCAGGGTCCAAAATTAAGGAAAAATCCTCAGTCGAGCAGTAACCTGTTTATGAGATGTTTAATAACATAATATGTGATCAGCTGTGTTTTCAAACAAATTAGTATCTCAGTTTTGCTAGGAAGCCAACATTTTTTGGTTTTTATATTATTGTTTTGTGTGTGTGTGTGTGTGTGTGTGTGTGTGTGTGTGTGTGTGTGTGTGTGTGTGTGTGTGTGTGTGTGTGTGTGTGTGTGTGTGTGTGTGTGTGTGTGTGTGTGTGTGTGTGTGTGTGTGTGTGTGTGTGTGTGTGTGTGTGTGTGTGTGTGTGTGTGTGTGTGTGTGTGTGTGTGTGTGTGTGTGTGTGTGTGTGTGTGTATAATAGTTAATAATAAAATATATAATGAAATAATATATAATGTTAATATATATATATAATGAAAATCACATATATATATATATATATATATATATATATATATATACAGTATATATACAGTGTATAAAATTACAAAAATAGTATTTATAAACAAATATGTATTATTATTATTATTATTATTGTTTTATATTTGTTTAATATGTGCAATAAAATACATAGTTTATATAAAGTTTAATAAAATAAGAAATCTAAAAAAAAAAAGTAGTAAAAATGTTTGTAGAATTTGACTCAGACTGTAAGGATTTCAGATAATCAGGTACTCTAGTATTGGTTTAACTTCATGTCTGTTTTTCTTCCTTCAGCCAATGGGATGGCAGATCCTCTCAGCTCCGCCCCTGCCATGAGCAGCACCACCAGTCCCAAACTTGAGCCTCCACCATCACCTCATGCCAACCGCAAGAAACACAGAAGGAAAAAGAGCACAGGCATCACCAAACCAGACGGCCTTTCTGCAGGGAATGAAGGTAAAGGGACGCAAAACTGTACGAGTTTGTGTTATTCGTACAAAAAATGACCATGTACCATATCGCTTGTATCTCACTGTCCCATTGGTAACAAATCAACACAAACACCAGTAGTTTTTGGGCATCAATAACTGTTTCAGCAGTTGTAGGCTCGTCTTAGTGGCAAAATGCTGTCAAAAAAAAATAAGCCAATTGGCTTGTGGCTAATAAAATAAATTAATCTCTTTCTGAATTAGTAAATGCTTCCATTTGATCCATTGTTCTGTGCCACATGCAACAGAGAAGACCACTTGAGTTTTATTGCCCATCCCAATGACAAATACAGTCTCCTAATTGGTTGTTATTGAGGAAACAATAGCGCTTCCCTCAGGCTGTTTTGTTGCCAATAGGCCAAATCCATCAACTAGATGGACGCTGTCCATCAATGACGTTGACACAGACACTTCCTAAAAAAAAATTTTTTTTTTTGGATAACCATTTTATAAATCCACCTAGAGCCAGTGTACATCTTTGAAGTCACAAAAAGACCATAATCGAGCATTAAATGATAAATACATGTCTGTAGGTGCTCTAAAGACAGATTCTGTCAACATTTATGGTTTGAAAAAGCATTTTCATAGCTTTTCCCCTCATCATGCTCTTCTGGATCACGTCCGTTTTAGCTGCGACCAGGAACAAGTTTAACTGTGTTTTTACATGAGCTGAAATCGCCTCAAATGATCCAGCGCCACTATTGTGACTGTTTTATTCGTTTTAAATGTGTATGGATGACATTACAAGCTCAAGGGATCACAAACGTGGTCATTTCCCATTGCAGCAGGAGTTAAAGACGTTCTTAGCGCTCATTCTGTCTCATTACGCAGACAGTTCCTCAAGAATACGAGGGCTAACCTCTGATTTTCTTAAGCTTGGCTTGGTCATCTGGCAGAATAACAGCAGCTGAATGTGTGTGCGTACGCAATTTCCTACGAACTTCCATCATGAACGTCGTTTTTTGCCTGAAAGGTTCTATTAGTGTGTGCTTGTCTGTTCTGGTGAGTGCATGCAGAATACAGACATATTGCTTAAGTATGAGAATCACTCACATGGAGCAAGCTGTATCTGCTGAAGGCAGAGGAGTGGGAGAGATGGGAGGGGTGGAGGGGGGTGCTTGGATCCTTGAATAAATTGCTATCAGTTTATCTCATTTACGGTGCAATCAAAAGCGGCGAATGCTGGCAGAAATCGAATTTTAGCTGTTGTGAAGCATCATAAATCAAATGTGCTGTCGCTCTCGAAGAAGGTGAGGCAACTTTTCCGTGCTTGGCTTTATGAGCGAACGTCTCTGGGAAGTGTCTGGAAGATTTTTACAGCGCTGATTCACAAATGGTCTCGGGCAGCTTATGGTTTTACGTGAACATTCACAATTAAGACATGCTTAGACAACTAAATGAATTGTTAGAGGGAAAAGTGTGCTTGCTGAGATGTCTGATTCTTTTTAGCTAATCAGTTCATTTCAGTGCTGAATCTTTTGAATCGGTCCTTTTGATTCAAGCAGGCCTTGACCATTTAAACTGTTTAGACCCTGAGTTTGAGTTTACTCCAACAGAAAACAGGTCTTTAATTCCTGTACATGCAGAGTGTCTCCATTTGAACAGCTTCAGTGGAGCATCTCCTTCAATCCCGCTGAATGTGCGGCGGTATAATGATCTCAGGTGTTTAAAAGATGATCCAGGGTACCTAGTGAGTCAACTGACAGGAGCTTTAATGCCTTTCTTTGCGACCATACCTTTATCTTCTCTCCTGTACAGGAAAGAGATCTGCTCTGCAATTCCGGAGCTTGATTAATCTAGGCTTTCTGTAGTCTTCTATAGGAAGCATGCAGTTTCTACAGATCTATTTATTCTTTATATGTAGTTTACATAAAGCTGCATACTCATTACACACTTGCTTTTCTTCTTAAATAGCAAAGAAAATAAAAAGTAATATTAAATTGGACTGAACTGAATGTGTTGTAGCGTAGTTTTAAAAATGTGGATTACAAATGATGTACATTTGGATAATTACTCAACATTTTAAATAAGCATTAGCTTAACATATTTAAATATAATAAAATGTAGTAATTAAATAATTACATTTAAATATAATAATAGGTATTATTACTAGTAGTAGTTGTGATGATTATTGCATTTTTAAATATATACAAATTACCACTACTAGTAACAGCTATTACTACTATTACATTTAAATGTAATTATTAAATTATTAATATTAAAAAATTTAAATAATATTTAAATATAAAATATTTAATCTAATAATAATAATTATTATTATTGTTTGTTTTTATATAAATTAAAAAATTATTATTACATTTTAATGTATTTAAATATTAAATATATTCATCTAATCTAATTATTATTGTTATTTTTGGCATTTATATATTTAAACATTACATTTTAAATACATTTTTACATTTTAATTATCTAATGTATTAATGTATTTAAATGTTAAATATTTCATCAATTTATTTTAATTATGTTTTTATTTTTGTAGTCTAATGAGCATTTAGTTATTATTGTGGCAGAAAATAAAACAATAAACAATTTAAAACAATTTAAAACAATTTATATTGGCTCTGCCTATCGATTATCAGACATCTGAACATATAAATAATCAGTATATAAAAAAGCAATATTGAACGATCTCTGATAATAACAAATTAAGGCCTAATCAGCTTCTTGATTCATCTTTGCCCTAAATACAAAGTAATGTAGTCCTATCTTTTTTTTTTTTACTTCGAAATCTATATATATCGTTTTTATACTGTTGTAATGATGTCCAGGTGGCATTACTTGTTTTGATCCTTCAGGCTGATAAATACACTTGCCCGGTTTCAGGCAGCAGCAAATGAAGCTTCATGTGTTTTTGGACCGGTGGTGTTGTTTCCTTGAAGCCCTGTGTCTCTGTTAGACCTTTTAAAGAAGATAAATGTGACTGCATGTATATATTTGTAAATTCGTGTACATCAGATGATTGTTGGGGAGTGTTTATGTCTGCATTTACCTTCAGTTCATTGTCTGAAGTGTCGTGTGTGTGTGAAGGGTGTTATTGTTTACACTGTGTGTGTGTGTGTGTGTGTGTGTGTGTGTGTGTGTGTGTGTCTGATGGAGACGGTGAGTGCGTTCTCGCCTCCTCAGTGTTTGGCCCGTATCCCCCCAGGCCTGTGTCAGTAATGGGCGCGTGCTGATTGCTCTAATACAGGTTAGGAATATTGCCTTTAATGATGTGTAAAATGAGCAAACGCCGCCGCTGACATTTACAGATGGCACAGGCAGGTCTGGTTCCTCCCAGCTGCCCGTTAATTCTTAGACACCAGCTAGCATCTCTATAGGCCCAGACTGTTTCGTGTACTAGAGCACATGTGTTAGATTCAAGATTGTCACCTATTGGAGTTCGTAAAGCAACACACACACACACACACACACACCTTGACTTAAACCCCTTGCGGCTGATTTGATGGATTTGTGGTCGCGTGGCCGCATGCTCTGACAGAATAGCAATCGGGTCACACTGGCAGGTCCAGATGTGGTACTGGAGCAGGCGTCTGACCCAGAGGGCGTTTGGACTAGAATCATCTGCTTTCATTAGATGGGATGCACTTGAGCAAATGTTGGCAATTCCTTTTCCTCTCCTTCGTTCTCACTCTCTGTGCTAATTTGCTTAGATTTTTTGTGTATTCATGTTGCTGAAGTAGATCTCACCTTAAAGATCAAAATCGACCCTGTTTAGTGTTTCAATAAAGGTTACTGGTCTTATTGTGCGTGATTTTTCAGTACATATTATTCAAAAGAAAAAAATGCTTTATTCCTGATGGGTGCAATCAAGTCCCACCCTTCTTTTTTGAAAGAAATTAATACTGTTTTTAAGCAAGGATGCATTAAATTGATCAAAAGTGACAGCAAAGATTTCTATTTCAAATAAATGCAGTTCTTTTGAACGTTCTATTCATTAAAGAATCCTGAAGACATTTTTCAAGGTTTCCACAAAAATATTAAGCAGCACAACTGTTTTCAACATTGATAATAATCAGAAATGTTTCTTGGGCAGCAAATCAGCATATTAGAATGATTTCTGAAGGATCATGTGACACTGAAGACTGGAGTAATGATGCTGAAAATTCAGCTGTGCATCACAGGAATAAATTACATTTTAACATATATTCAAATAGAAAACCTAATATATTATTTAAATGTATATTTTATGTGTTGTTGTTGTACATATATATAATTTTAATTAGTATTAATAATACTAGTAAGATATATACATTAAAAATGAATATAAATGTATATAAAATAATAACAATAATATAAATAAAATAATTGTCGTATATTTTGTCAAAAAAACAAGTCAGAAAAAGCCTGTGATGAAAAACACACTATAGCATTAGCGTGCACTCATTTATTTCAATTGAACCAAATACAAAGTCAGAATGATGTTTGTGTGTATATAATAATAATAATAATAATAATAATAATGTATAAAATGTATGATGTGTTTTTATTGTTGCAATATTAGGTCTGGTTCCTCCCAGCTGCCCGTTAATTCTTAGACACCAGCTAGCATCTCTATAGGCCCAGACTGTTTCGTGTACTAGAGCACATGTGTTAGATTCAAGATTGTCACCTATTGGAGTTCGTAAAGCAACACACACACACACACACACACACCTTGACTTAAACCCCTTGCGGCTGATTTGATGGATTTGTGGTCGCGTGGCCGCATGCTCTGACAGAATAGCAATCGGGTCACACTGGCAGGTCCAGATGTGGTACTGGAGCAGGCGTCTGACCCAGAGGGCGTTTGGACTAGAATCATCTGCTTTCATTAGATGGGATGCACTTGAGCAAATGTTGGCAATTCCTTTTCCTCTCCTTCGTTCTCACTCTCTGTGCTAATTTGCTTAGATTTTTTGTGTATTCATGTTGCTGAAGTAGATCTCACCTTAAAGATCAAAATCGACC